TTATTTTATTGATAGGAGCCATCAATATAAAATTAATTTTAATAAACTGCAGTATTTTTATAATTTTGAGTATTACATATTTTATTTAAAAAAATATTATGCAATTTAAAAAAAAATCAAACTTTTTAATCCATTTTCTTTTATTAAGGGAGATATTGAGACTTAATTGTAAAAATAAATATATATAAAAAAAAAACTTCTAAACTTGATATATCAAAGAATTCTTTATCATCCTCTCCTTTATTATTTTTTAAGAGTTATTTTTTCAAATTATTTTTTGTACTTAATTGCATAGGTTGACCTATGGATTCGAATGTAATTTGATAAGGTCATTTAGGTCATTCAGCAAATTTAATGACTGGTACATATTTAATGAATGGTACTAATTATACTTAATTAGAATTTAGATAGACGTTTTATCCCAAGTTCATGAGATTTTTTTTTTCGGGTAATCAGCTATATCTATCTCTAGCTTTAGGGTACATGTTGCATTTCAAATTTCACTCCCCCAACAACCACAGATCCAATCTAATGTCTTAACTTTCATCTCCATGCCATTTCCATCCAAAAGCTTCAGGACAAAACAGAACATGTACAGAGAGAAAGAAGGACTTGGCTTTGGTAGATTCTTCTTCTTTTCTCACCTCACCATAAAATGGTTTTCTTTGATAAAAACATCAATGTCCAAATTGTGTTCACAGCGTTCAAGTTTTGTGTTGTCCACAAATGAAAAAAATAGAATGTTCAAAGCTAAATATAATGGGAAGGTCCGTCCACTTTGCAGCTCAGCTGCCTTCGTCCATTCCAAACTTATAGTCGTACAGAATCAAATAGCCGGAATGAATGAATTAAAATAATCATCTTAAGTCCTAGCTATGTCCTATATTATGAGCATATGCATTTGAGGTCTCCTAAAAGTGTACTCTTCATCTTCCAATGAGTGGAGATAGACAGATTGATCCAACAGTCGTTCATCCATCCATTGCTCTTCTGCAAGAAAGGTTCAGACAGTTGGAGAGAGCCAAGGAGATGAGGCAGGAGAAAGAACTCTTACGGATGTTGCCTGAATCAACGCAGATCAATGCAGCTATAACTTATGTACCATCTAGATCGCTTTTCCACCCTGAACTCATGCTTTCACAGCTGCCTCTTCAGTGTACACTCAAAATAGAAGCCAGTATGCAGAGCAGGAATACCCAGGTTCACGCCATTCAGACTCCATTACTGGAGAATTTATGGTCCAGAGACACTGTGATATGCACAACTTACCATGATGATATTTCAGATGTTTGATACTTCATCTGTGAAAAAGTATTACAATGTTAGTCCACCTAGTAATCCTGTGGTTTCCTTCTGTTTCTTCTTCATGGGGCACTAAGAATATGAGAAGGAAAAGGAGGAGCTAAAGAAAAAGAAAACAGAATATGCAATGTAGCTAATGGCCATTATCTTATGTATCTTCAGAACTACATAGTAATCAGAAAGATAATTCTCTTATCTCTTCCAAAATGCATCTCATCATAGGTAATGTTATCCAATTTGTCACCGTTCCCTTTCCTCTTCATGATTTTGCGAATCAATCAAGTTACATCTTTGGCCTCTGACATTGCTTCCCCATTGTTTATCTGCTTAGAACGAACAGCACTAACCTTTCGGGCATTTGCAGCTAATATCTGCACCAGGGACAACATTTCACTCACATTGCTCAAGATTTAGTATTATTAGCCTACACAGTTATCACATGGATAATTTATTTTCCAGAAAGAATGTTTAAACTTGAATGTTACACAAAAATGAAGCATATGAATTATTAATATCAGTTGCTAAGTTTCATTTAGCAAACTGAGCCACCAAATGAAGCATCTCATAGGATGAACAATATAAAAGCAGATTCCTATATGAACAAATGCATGCCCCCATAATAGCATTGATTTCAGAAAGTTATATGTGGAAGAGAGTCAAGAGACTGCATGATTGCTAGCTACATTCATTTTCTTAGTTTTTTTACTGAAATCCATTCGGTTCTTTTACCCTACCTCAAGTCTATATATTTGATGCCTTTCCTTCAAATCTTGATGATCAGATCCATCTTCATCATGCTTATCATCATCATCTTGATTATCCCTTTTGAGGACAACTTTGATGCTCTCACCAGCTCTAGGGATGTATCCAAATCCTTCGCATAAAAAACCAGATACTGTCTCAGACTGATGTCCCTATAGAACAGAATTTCCCACAATAGTCACAATAATCCCACAATAGTCACAATAATCAGAATTTCCCTTGCAACTGAGATCAGAAATATCAAGTTTATAAGCGTGCCTATTTTTAAGATTCCTATAATCAACTATGTGGCAGAAATAAAATTTTAATGAGCCTGTGGAAATGGCAGGAGAAGGGTACAATACAGAAATAATCGAAGGTAGAAATGATCCTAACAACTGACTTTTTAGCTTTAAAGTTCAAATACTCCATTCGGTGCTCTATACACCACAATAATGAAAACCAGTAATAGGGTGGAATAAAAACCTCTGGCATTTTGATTTTCAAGTCCTCAGATGGTAAATAAATAGATGTATTGGCATCAACATCATATACTCCCTCTGCTCTCATTACAATATAGCCAATTTTCTTCTGGATCTCCTCCTGTTAATGCAATTAGCAGCAAATGCATCTAATAAGTATCACTTCAGAATCATTATATATATGTAGATATATATAAACAAATCACTTAAGAATCAGGCAGAGCTCAACCTTGTAATGCTAATTGATATGAGACCTATAGTGTAAAGAAATATCTACATGACGTGAAAAGTGACATGAAATTCTTTGGTCACATGGAAAATGCAGACAAAATACATGCCAGACTAACAGAGACCAGAAACTGGAAATAAAGCAGAATCTAGATCAATTGATATGTAGAAAATTTGCAGCACATGTACAACACCAATTTGTTTTGGACTTCATCAACAAGTTTTCTTAGCATCCCCTTGCTGAGGAATAATAGAATGCAATATCTAAATTTATCTATTTAATTAAAAGACTTGCCTCCAATAACAGATTCAATAATAGAACATTAAGGTCATTAATGATGTCATTAGGCTTACCTTTCAATCATTTTCATCAAAGATTTCTCCAACAATCTCCTCAACCACATCTTCTAAGGTTACTATCTGCTGCATCAAAAATGAGTACATAAATATATAAAATCAATCAGTCAATAAAATGAGCACAAATACTGTTAAATAAGCAATCCAAAAGAGACAGAAAACCCATGAATGGTAAGTTCTAGACTTTGTGTTCTCATGCTGCATATTCCACTCTTATCTGAACTTTAGAAGAAAAATGATTTCAGAACATATGAGAGAGCATTTGAGTTTCATCTACAGGGAACTCCTATTTGTCTCCTTTACCATGTTGAACCTGAAATTAATGTTACGTGCCAAAGTTTTGAAGTTGTAAAATTTGAATAACAAACTAATACTAGGTGTAAGCTCACAAGTTAAGGTATTGAGGGGTCATACTAACCATTTTAGATTTTAAGTGGTCAGCTTATTATCCTGGTTGACCTTTTAACATCATACGTTTCATTGAGTTTATGTTATGGCATTTGGATGCCAACAAACAATGAACAAATACTACCTTAAGTGGGCACAAAGAACATGCTGATAAGGAATAAGGTTTTGTCTTTAGGACTTCTAGCTCCAACTGAAAAAATTTTGTTTATTTTTTTAGCCTCTCAGCAGGGAAAGCATTGTCAGCATCTATCTCCAGAACAAAGTTCAAAATATCACAATTGTTGTCTCTTATTGTTTCAAGATATCAAAAGTTAGCATAAGTTGGCATGCGGCACAAAATAAAAATAAAGAAAATGGCAGAAGTTGGCACTTTATCATAATAAAAAACCTCAACACAATGGATGATTCTGTTTGGGTAAAGTTTCAATAGGAGGCTTTGCACAGACCCCAATAGTTCCACCATATTTATTAAGAACAACAGCCAAGTGAACCTTCTTGATCTGGAACTCTCTAAGAAGATTCCAGACTGACATTGAATCTGCAAAACCAACTTTCTAAATTGTACTGTATAGATAGTTGAAGCATTCTATTTTTTCCATTTTCTTTTCCCCTGGACAATAACTACTAAAACAACAAATAAGTCTAATGAAACAGGGTCTTCTGCACTTCAATTGATTACAAAAATCAGAAAAGAAATGACATCTTCACGTTAAATGTGGATAATATGGTGAGAAAATGGGGTAACAGCAACTTAAAAAGAAAAAAAAAAAAATCAACCCAAAGAACATCATTAAGATATCAACTAAAGAAAAAAGTCAATGGGTACCAGGCACAAAGTAGGCAGGTTTGTGAGCCATGTCTCCCACAGTAAAACTTTCAAGTTGCTCACCCTTCACCAGTTCCCAAAAAAAGAAATAAAAATCAAAGTGATTACAAATCTGCACGCTATGAGATTGACATTGTTGCATATAGTTGATAAGAAAAGTTCTAATGATGGAAAAAAGGGTGTGTCAAAGGAAGAAATTGCCTGACCTTCCAAACAAAATCAAGTGCATCCGTTGCATATGCAATGCCAATTATATTGTCAACATACTGCTCCAAAACAGGTACCCTGTAAACAGAAATCTTTTAACAAGTTTCTTCAAGGATATAAAGCCTTAGAGATGAATTACCAATTCCCAACCTTGAATATTGGTGAGTCACCCACAGATGGTGAAAATCAACAAGAGTTGCACTTGCATCAATTGCAACCACATCAACAAGGGGTGTCATGACCTCTCTAACATGAGTATCCTTTATCTCTAATACAGTTTCAATCATATCTTGCAAGGAATTCATAAAATTAGAGCATCTGAACTGTAAACAAATAGACAAGCACCTGTTGGCAATAAAATTAATTTGGATTTCCTCTAGAATCTCACTATTTAAACAGAAATTGGTAGAGAAATATATGGCAAGAAAAAGATATGCTCTACTATAAATGCGCAACCAGAGTCAAGAATAGATGATACTGATCAATTTCATTTCAGTAAAAGAATTCAGAAACTGAAGAAACTTTCTAATTCTTACTTGCAACAAAAGAGACACTCAGGCAGTACAATAAAGAAAAATTTGCTTATTTCACTACCTGCTCTCCCTCCTCTATTTCTCCACTCAATTCTGCTCCACGTAGCATCAGCTTTAATTCATCTTCAGTAACATAAGGTTCACTAATTTAAAGAGAAAACATGCAAAGCATTCGTAAAGCAGTCAATACAAACTTACACTAACAAACAACTGGAAACAAGAAATGCAACAGACGAAATGGAGGATATGATTTCCTTATTCCCATTGATAAATAAGTAACAATTCTTCCCACTAGATGTAGTATCAAGCAAAGCCATGCCACTGGCCTGACCCAATGACACAGCGAACGGCATTAGCCAAATAATTTTAGTTTGCTAGCAGTCATTAGCTAAGTAGAAAAGAGTTAAATAGCAACATAGACCATGGAATTTTAAACAAAAAGTTAAAAGCTTTTTTAGCAAAGTTTTAGTTGCAAGTTCTAGAAGAAAATGGAAACTTAAATGGAAAACTTACCACAAATCTAGCCACCTCTATAGGATTGTGAACAGCTATACTTTTTGGAGTGATCTCAGTAAGAAGCAAAATAGCAACCTAGGATTATTCAGAAAACTTTGTAACAGCGAATTATTTAACTTAAAGAGATTTCTTATTCATTCTTCCTTTATTGTTTACAAAGGAAGTACAAAACTTTGTAACAACAACTCTACAACTCAGGAGCTAACTTAAAGAGATTTATCCTGAAACAAATTTAAGCCTTTTACTCTAATTTACTACAAATTCACAATGAGTTACATACGAGCATGAATAGAGGCAGACAAGGAGGTTGGATATGTGGGGCACATAAAGAGGATAGAATTTTTATATACAAACAGTCATCACTCCAGTTACTGCAGTAACACCAGTTCTCCAAATATTGCTGTTGCTGTGTCTATAACTAAAGTAGTTGCTTCAATATTGACCACCCTAGTGACAAAAACAGAATCTAAAAATAAATCACGCAGCGAAGTTAAACATAGAAACACAGAACTGGATCAGTTAAGTGATGATGGGAAAGACTAGTACGTAGTGCCAATAACAATGGTGGTAAAAACTAGGTTACATCACTGTGAAGCATTTGAAATACACCATCTTGTATTATTTCAAATGGAAGGAAAAGAAAAAAGGATCTCATTGAACTCACTGGTTTTGGAGCTTCTAGATTCATTTGAAGATCAACATGGAAGAAAGTGAATAGAAGGTGATGCAATGGTGTCCAAACAGCAGGGAAAGAAACTTTAATTTCATCATGGTAGCAGGCCACACCAACAGCAACTTGCGTGTGAGCCCACTTCTGAAGTGATAAACCAGGTTCCCTTGGATACATTGCCTAGTCATATCAGTAGCACAGCAAGAACAATAAGACGAGTTTAAAAATCATAGTGCAAAGTATCACTCAACAATTTTAGCTTGTCTATGAACATCTGCATCATTCTTTCTTAGCTCAACTCTTACGAATAGATTCCTTTTCCAACTCAAGCTCACAGTTAAAGGATATACATATAGAGAATGGAAAAGCTGCAAGAATGGTTCGTTTCTCAAAGTTGTCCGAAAGTCAAATGCCTGGAACTGCAGGTTAAAATTAAGAAACTAATTAAGGGTAAACAAGTTCCACACGAATAAAAAGAAAGAAAAAGAAAAAGTTGCATTGGTAAGAGGTATTCAAACTTCAAAGGAAGATAGAATAGCTGCAACACATATAACTCTTCATGAGGATTTGCTTGGACAAGCAACTTCCGTATAAAGATCATTACACCACATGTAGCATATGACTGGAAAGCAACTTCCACGATTATCCTCAGCTAAATTTTCAAGCAAGTCGAAAAATGACTAATTGAATAGAATTCAAGTACATCAACTTTACTTTAAAAAGCAATTCTCATCATTTAAATGCCCCTTGCCATATGGAATTGGGATCAAGAGGCACAGAAAGAATGCTCCTGCTCTTTCACATGCATCAACTGAGGGATAACAGGAGATGATTTGAAAGATGATTAAGGGTTGCTTTTGGAGCACAGAAAATTAGCATCTGGACATTGCTTCCAACAGCTATACCAAAGATGGAAAGCCAATACTATCATGAAATCCAAAACAGAAAAACATTATAAGAAAGACTACCAAAAAATGAAACTAAAACGAATCAGACAAGAAGTTTTGTCTTTTTCAAGAAATAATTTGATCTAAAGTATTAACGGAGAATAACACTGATTTAGAAAACTCAAACAGCTTCCATGATGCACGTTGTAAACCTCTCACCTCAATTACTCATTCTCTGGTCTATGGACTTAATATATCTTACGGTGCTAAGGTTATAGCCACCATTACAATGCTAGATGGATAAATTCGCTCCAAGCCAATTGAGGCATTCATCCGTTCAAAATTGAATCAAGAAATAGGCAAACCATATTTACAGAACACAAGAAAAATTCCCAGGTTGTTTACTATCAGCCATGCAAATAAGCAACTGAAATGCAACAAAAATATAAAAAGAAATACAAATGCAAGAAAAGCATTCTGCTTACATCACCAACATTGAGATCTGGATTTCCATGAGTGTTTCCATTTCCAGATGCATTTTTCCCATCATTAGGAATCCACTTGGAATTGCTACTCTGAGGCCCATCAGAACCATTGTTGGGGCTCTTAATGAACATTGCATCAGTAACTTGATCCCCTAGGTCCATGGATTCACTGGTCATGCTGGCACTTTCTGAAATATTTTCCAGCTCCGCATTAAATGTCTGGTGCTTCTCAATTTCCAGTCTTAAAACACCTTTCACAGGTTTATGGACCTTGCGGTTAGGATCCTGTTATAATAAAGAAAAAAAAAAAAAAGAGTGAAGCAGAAAATCAGAAGCCATTGCTGCATAAATGACAAAGCACCAAAAAGGGAAAAAGAAGAAAAAGAAAAAACAGGGGATGAAGATGCTGAAAAGCTTACTCTAGAAAAAAATGCATATAAATGCTTTTAATTAGTGAAAAAGGTAATTACGTGCATTTCTATACTCAAAAAAGGATAAGTTCTCATAAAATATCTTGAGAACATTTCAGATTCTTCATTTCTTTGACCTCCCTTTTTTCACAGCATTTCTTTGGCAGAGTTGTTTTGGGCATTTTATTAGCACCTCACTTTCTTCCAAACTTTCTTATAAGCATTTCAAATGCTAAAAAGTAGAGTTTCCCTCCAATACTTCTTTAGACTTGTGAGAGAAAAAAGT